TGTGCTAGTGATGGCTATTTAACAGTCTGATGGCCTTGAGATAGAAGCTGTTTTCATTCTCTCGGTCCCAGCTTTGATGCACCTGTACTGACCTCGCTTTCTGGATGATAGCAGGGTGAACAGGCAGTGGCTCGGGTGGTTGATGTCCTTGATGATCTTTTTGGCCTTCCTGTGACATCGGGTGCTGTAGGTGCCCTGGAGGGCGGGTAGTTTGCCCCCGGTAATGCGTTCGGCAGACCGCACCACGCTCTGGAGAGCCCTGCGGTTGTGGGCGGTGCAGTTGCCGTACCAGGCGGTGATACAGCCCAACAGGATGCTCTCAATTGTGCATCTGTAAAAGTTTGTGAAGGTTTTAGGTTCCAAGCCAAATTTCTTCAGCCTCCTGAGGCTCTGTTGCGCCTTCTTCACCACACTGTCTGCGTGGGTGGACCATTTCAGTTTGTCAGTGATGTGTACGCCAAGGAACTTGAAGCTTTCCACCTTCTCCACTGCGGTCCCCTTGATGTGGATAGGGGGGTGCACCCTCTGCTGTTTCCTGAAGTCCACGATCATCTCCTTTGTTTTGTTGATGTTGAGTGAGAGGTTATTTTCCTGGCACCACACTCCCAGAGCCCTCACCTCCTCCCTGTAGGCTGTCTTGTCATTGTTGGTAATCAAGCCTACTACTGTTGTGTCGTCTGCAGATTTGATGATTGAGTTGGAGGTGTGCTTGGGCACGCAGTCATGGGTGAACAGGGAGTACAGGAGGGGGCTGAGCACGCACCCTTGTGGGGCCCCAGTGTTGAGGATCAGCGAAGTGGAGATGTTGTTTCCTACCTTCACCACCTTGGGGGCGGCCCGTCAGGAAGTCCAGGACCCAGTTGCACAGGGCGGGGTTCAGACCCAGGGCCTCGATCTTAATGATGAGCTTGGAGGTTTTCAATGGATTCACTAAATCGGGCGTACATAATCTCAGAAAATGTAGGCTACTTCTACCAGATACAAAGGGGGAATTAAAAACAGTAGCCAAAATTTCCCACATCGACATTTGGAAAAAAGTCCACCGCCAACCGGTTCAAGCTCCAAGCTCCATCTCCGCTTCCGCCATTTTGACCACCTGACCTAAAAATTCTCAGAACAGTATGTATGTTGTTGTTGTTGTTCTTCCTCTTCTTCTTCTTTAAATTTGTATTGGCAGATCGCAACCAACTGAAAGGTGCGTACAGCACCACCTACTGTACTGGAGTGAGGCAGTCATCTATTTACCTAATCTAGCCCTGTTCTGGAGTGTGAATACATTACACTTTGTGACACAAAAGGGAAGGGAAAAAGGACGGAGAAAAGGGAAGAAAAATTGCCCTACCAACTAACCCTACGCCCATTAAAACCTCACCACTATACCAACTAACCCTACACCCATTAAAACCTCACCTCTATACCAACTAACCCTACACCCATTAAAACCTCACCACTATACCAACTAACCCTACACCCATTAAAACCTCACCTCTATACCAACTAACCCTACACCCATTAAAACCTCACCACTATACCAACTAACCCTACGCCCATTAAAACCTCACCACTATACCAACTAACCCTACACCCATTAAAACCTCACCTCTATACCAACTAACCCTACGCCCATTAAAACCTCACCACTATACCAACTAACCCTACACCCATTAAAACCTCACCTCTATACCAACTAACCCTACACCCATTAAAACCTCACCACTATACCAACTAACCCTACGCCCATTAAAACCTCACCACTATACCAACTAACCCTACACCCATTAAAACCTCACCTCTATACCAACTAACCCTACACCCATTAAAACCTCACCACTATACCAACTAACCCTACACCCATTAAAACCTCACCACTATACCAACTAACACTGGTTCGGGCTAGGCCCCTTTGTTCCAGTGAAGGGAAATCTTAACGCTACATTCTGCGCTTCCAACTTTGTAGCAACAGTTTGGGAAAGGCCCTTTCCTGTTTCAGCATGACAATGCTACCATGCACAAAGTTCATACAGAAATGGTTTGTCGGGATCGGTGTGGAAGAACTTGACTGGCCTGCACAGAGCCCTGACCTCAACCCCATCGAACACCTTTGGGATGAATTGGAACGCCGACTGCGAGCCAGGCCTAATCGCCCAACATCAGTGCCCGACCTCACTAATGCTCTTGTGGCTGAATGGAAGCAAGTCCCCCGCAGCAATGTTCCAACATCTAGTGGAAAGCCTTCCCAGAAGAGTGGAGGCTGTTATAGCAGCAAAGTGGAGACCAACATGATTTTGGAATTAGATGTTCGACGAGCAGGTGTCCACATACTTTTGGCCATGAAGTGATTGTGATAAAGTGAAAATCTGAGGGTCGCACCCGACCCTAACCCGCGAATATAGAACATGCCTGTAGGCTTCAGTAAGAGACTGCTGAAGGATTTTTTGACAGGGGGTTCAGGAATTTTTTTGCCTGATACGTTTCTGCTTATAATTTCTGACATTTTGGTAGGGTATTTGTTAGTCAACTTGTCTATAATTAGACACATGCAGTTTTTTTCTGCATTAAATGTTGCCCTTGAGGGCTAAATAAACCATTGCTAACCAGAATAATGTCATAAATCAATAGAATGAACGCTTGAATCTAGTTACCATGGTAAAGTTGGTTCTCTCTTTCCTCTTCCATCTCCGCTTCTTTCGCAGAGCAAAGACGTTTAGGGACCGGGGAGAAAATGCAATAGCAAAATAAAACGGGAAAATTTCCAAATGACATCAGTTCGACCGGTTGTAAGGAAATAGAAAGCTATGAAAACAACCCAATATGTTTCTGATAAGATTTCAGTTTGACTTGGATGCATATTTTATGTGGTTGAAATAATATCAGCTTTTATGACGTTGATAATGATAGCACCTCGACTGATGGTATCTAACTGTGCATTAGCATTCTCTCAAGAAGCTGAAAGAAAGAAATCATATTTCTCCACTCCTGTTCCCGAGTCAAAATGTAGCCAACATTTGGTGTATCATTTTACTGCAAGAAATGCTTCATTCTGCAGGAGTTCATATTAAGGCTATGTGTGAGGTTATAGACCTACAGTCAGTGTCCAGATTTCAGTTTCCATTTAACCCATCTGAACAGTAGGAGGTAGTCTACAGTTCCCTTGATATGCCATATGCCTATTTGAAGTCCCCATCTTGTCTGTCGCATTTGTAGTGCCTTATAATCATCACACATAACAAAGCAGGTACTGCTATCATCCTCTTTAACCACTTTCCCAAACATTACTTTTCTGGACCTCCCTTCTCTTTATTTTCAACTCTCCATTTCGCAGCTTTTCTCTTATTGAATTAAACTCCGACATCGCCCCTTTAGCGTCCGTGGATCGATATAAATTGTACAATAATTATACATTTATGGATTTTCTAAGGTATTGTTTTCCCTTTATTCAACCTGCCCGCCACCCACCCGCCCTTCATCCACACAATATTTCATGACCCTAAACCCGCCCCCGCCCCGTCCTGAGTCAATCCGCACATCACTATGGAACGCTGTCATTCAACACACCTTGTTAACCCATCTGCAGTAAAGTCTCGTACACCCAAGTACTTCTCTGCAGCTGCCACCACAACATCTATTTTCTGTGATGTAGGTTCTATTTCTGCGGTACAGTTGATAACCATGGCTATGAACACATTTTATTCCTATCACTCTCTATTGGCCACGGCTTACGCACACCGACTGCGTCATTGCGTTTTGGGTACACCAGAAGTACATTCATTTCCAATGGAACGCTGCGTTTGCCTTCCAGCACTGCGTTGCGGGAGGCGGTTGCAGTGCGTTCTGTGTGGCGCATACGTTGGTTTTATCGAACGTATGCGTCAACGGGTTGACAGAAATGGTAGCAGAAGGTAAATGTTGAACTTTTGTTGCACACATATCTAGATGATGCTGCATACTATTTTGCGCAATGACACAGTCGGTGTGTTCACCCTGGACCCCATCTTCCTCTACTAGACTACTCTCTTCACAGACTCAGCATACGACACCTTCTGTAGGCTACTACTCTTGATTTGGGCAAACTCGACCTGCCTTTCTCTCACGGACACTTCTTGATCTCCAGCACACAAAACAGTATCCTGCCCCACACAAATTGAAAGTCTTTCTTCGGCATATTTTTCGCATCATGTCACACTGTACCAGTTGAGTTTTACTCATAGAAAGTTGAGGGATAAAAAGGTAGATATACTTATTGTATTTATTTTTACTCCGCGGTAATCTTCAACTGCCGACTGGCTTCAATTCAAGAAAATGCATATGACTCTGGAACGCACCCATTCGGTTTCCGCCCAATGTTTACGTCATATTCTAGGCGTGTGCAGAGTGCAGACTGCACTTCATTTCAGGAGTTTGGTACAGTATTTATAATCTCTCAACTGGGAACATTGTTATTGTATTTAACTTTAGAATTTGTTGAAAGACGTCCCTCTTTTGTCGAGGTAACGTTGAACAACCTAGCTACCATACTTTTAAACCATGTCTTGATTGTACTTTGATCGTTTGAACATCATAAATATGTCTAATCAGCTAGCTACCAAACTAGCTAGCTAGCTAGCTAATGTTTGCTAGCTATTTAGCTACGTAACTGTACATCAAGCCACTAGCCACACAGCTAGCTTCTAGCTTTCTACATGTGTACAACACTAACCAGCCTGTAATCCAGTTAAATAAAAAGCTTATAGCTAGGTAGCTTGTGATAGCTAGCTAGCTAACTACTTCAGGCTGTTATAAGTCAAGTGATAGGGCTGAAGCTTACCATAGCCTAACAACTTTATTTTCCCCCCGTTACCTTTCAGGACATGGATTTCTCGGTGAGTTAGTAATTTTTTTATCAATCAAGTTTATCATCAATGTATACCTTATTTAAGCTGGTAAATGTGTTGGTGAAGATCATGGTACCAATGAATCTCCCTGTTTTTCTGGCATGCAGCTGGCAGATGCCATAGCGGACAATGTCCCGGGCCAAGCTGAGAAAGCGAGTAACCCCAACCCAGCCGCCCCGCCGCCCACTAACCCAGGATGGCCTGGTGCAGCTCCTGGAGCCCCAACACAGCCCTCTGCTCCTGGGGGATTCCCTGGGGGCCCACAGTCTGGTCCAGGGGCCCCGGGGCAGTTCCCTGGAAGCCAAGGACCGTTCTCCTCTGGTCCCGGAGCACCAGGGCAGTATCCTGGAGCTCCCTCTGCCCCTGGTGGGTTCCCGCCCGGACCAGGGGTACCGGGACAATACCCAGCCGGGCCCGGAGCACCTGGGCAGTACCCAGCAGGACCCGGAGCACCTGGACAATACCCAGCAGGACCCGGAGCACCTGGACAGTTCCCTGGGCAGTTCCCCCCTGGTGGAGCCCCCGGTAATTTCCCTGGAGGCCCCATGCAGTACCCATCTGAACCCTTCCAGACTAGCCCTGGAGCACCCCCAGGACCCTACCCCAACGTGGCTTACCCAGGAGCCCAGCCTGGTGGGGGGATGTATGGGCCTGGAGGTCCAGGAGCTGCCTTCCCCCCTGCAGGAGGCACATTCCCTGGGTTCCCTGGCGGGGCCTTCCCCCCAATCCCCCCTGGATCATGGAGTGCTGGGGGTGGTGGAGTTTTCCCTCCCCAGCCCGGCCACCCTGGATCTTTTGGTCCTGGTCCCATGGGACCATACGGGGGACCAGCCGCTCCAGGAGTCATGTTGGTGAGTAAATGCATGATTTTAAAACACAACACGTTGCTGCTTGCTTGCTTCCTGGTGCACTTCTGTCCTAGTCTTCCCTGCAGCATCTCTGTACACGTGGTGTGGCTCTTTGGGGGGGGGGGGGGGGGGGGGGTTTCTAGCCTCGTCTGACCATCCTGATCTCACGAGCTTACATTGAATGCAGTGATCAATATGGTGGATCAGGCTAGGGAGGTGCTGCAGGGCTGTAAAAATGGTGCTGATCTTCCAGAAACTGCAATAGCATTATATTGGCCTGAGGGGTACGTTTTAGTGTCGCTACTGACCACTCTGGACGTGGTAACTAATAATAATAATAATTGATTGGATTTATACGGTGCTTTTCCAGTGCAGTAATTGGGGTGAAGTACTGTGGTATCTCTAAATGTGCACTTTTACATTAGAGATGTTGATAAGACACAAGTTTAGACCTGTTATTGTATTATTCCTGATCTGATGATGAAATGTAACGTCTGTTTCAGCCGGTGCCGTACGAACTGCCTCTCCATGCTGGCATCATGCCCAGGCTGTTGATCACCATAGTAGGGGAACCCATCGCTGGAGGAGACCGGTAGGTAGTCACACTTCTTCATTCATTTATCCATCCATCCATCCATCCATCCATTCATTCATTCATTCATTTATCCATTCATTCATTTATCCATTCATTCATTCATTTATCCATCCATCCATTCATTTATCCATTAATTCGCCCATTCATTCATTTATCCATCCATCCATTCATTTATACATCCATCCATTCAAATCAAATCAAATCAAATTTTATTGGTCACATGCGCCGAATACAACAGGTGCAGACATTACAGTGAAATGCTTACTTACAGCCCTTAACCAACAGTGCATTTATTTTAAACAAAAAAAGTAAGAATAAAACAACAACAAAAAAAGTGTTGAGAAAAAAAGAGCAGAAGTAAAATAAAGTGACAGTAGGGAGGCTATATATACAGTAAAATAAAGTGACAGTAGGGAGGCTATATATACAGGGGGGTACCGTTGCAGAGTCAATGTGCGGGGGCACCGGCTAGTTGAGGTAGTTGAGGTAATATGTACATGTGGGTAGAGTTAAAGTGACTATGCATAAATACTTAACAGAGTAGCAGCAGCGTAAAAAGGATGGGGTGGGGGGGCAGTGCAAATAGTCCGGGTAGCCATGATTAGCTGTTCAGGAGTCTTATGGCTTGGGGGTAGAAGCTGTTGAGAAGTCTTTTGGACCTAGACTTCGCACTCCGGTACCGCTTGCCGTGCGGTAGCAGAGAGAACAGTCTATGACTAGGGTGGCTGGAGTCTTTGACAATTTTGAGGGCCTTCCTCTGACACCGCCTGGTATAGAGGTCCTGAATGGCAGGGAGCTTTGCCCCAGTGATGTACTGGGCCGTACGCACTACCCTCTGTAGTGCCTTGCGGTCAGAGGCCAAGCAGTTGCCATACCAGGCGGTGATGCAACCAGTCAGGATGCTCTCGATGGTGCAGCTGTAGAATTTTTTGAATTTTTTTCATTTATCCATTCATTCGCCCATCCATTCATTCACCCATTCATTCATATCCCTTATCTATAGTCAAAAGCATGGTCTTTATGTACACTACCGGTCAAAAGTTTTAGAACACCTACTCATTCAAGGGTTTTTCTTTATTTTTACTATTTTCTACATTATAGAATAATAGTGCAGACATCAAAACTATGAAATAACACATATGGAATCATGTAGTAACCAAAAAAGTGTTAAACAAATCAAAATATATTTTATATTTAGATTCTTCAAATAGCCACCCTTTGCCTTGATGACAGCTTTGCACACTCTTGGCATTCTCTCAACCAGCTTCACCTGGAATGCTTTTCCAACAGTCTTAAAGGAGTTACCACATATGCTGAGCACTTGTTGGCTGCTTTTCCTTCACTCTGCCGTCCGACTCATCCCAAACCATCTCAATTGGGTTGAGGTCGGGGGATTGTGGAGGCCAGGTCATCTGATGCAGCGCTCCATCACTCTCCTCCTTGGTAAAATAGCCCTTACACAGCCTGGAGGTGTAGTGGGTCATTGTCCTGTTGAAAAACAAATGATAGTCTCACTAAGCCCAAACCAGATGGGATAGCTTATCGCTGCAGAATGCTGTGGTAGCCATGCTGGTTAAGTGTGCCTTGAATTCTAAGTAAATCACAGACAGTGTCACCAGCAAAGCACCCCCACACCATAACACCTCCTCCTCCATGCTTTACGGTGGGAAATACACATGCGGAGATCATCCGTTCACCCACACCGCGTCTCACAAAGACACAGAGGTTGGAATCAAAAATCTTCAATTTGGACTCCAGACCAAAGGACACATTTCCACCAGTCTAATGTCCATTGCTCGTGTTTCTTGGACCAAGCAAGTCTCTTCTTCTTCTTAGTGTCCTTTAGTAGTGGTTTCTTTGCAGCAATTCGACCATGAAGGCCTGATTCACACAGTCTCCTCTGAACAGTTGATGTTGAGATGTCTGTTACTTGAACTCTGTGAAGCATTTATTTGGGCTGCAATTTCTCAGGCTGGTAATTCTAATGAACTGATCCTCTGCAGCAGAGGTAACTCTGGGTCTTCCTTTCCTGTGGCAGTCCTCATGAGAGCCAGTTTCATCATAGCGCTTGATGGTTTTTGCGACTGCACTTGAAGAAACTTTCTACGTTCGTGAAATTTTCCGTATTGACTGACCTTCATGTCTTAAAGTAATGATGGACTGTCGTTTCTCTTTGCTTATTTGAGCTGTTCTTGCCATAATATGGACTTGGTCTTTTACCAAATCGGGCTATCTTCTGTATACCACCCCTACCTTGTCACAACACAACTGATTGGCTCAAACGCATTAATAAGGAAAGAAATTCCACAAATTAACTTTTAAGAAGGCACACCTGTTAATTGAAATGCATTCCAGGTGACTACCTCATCAAGCTGGTTGAGAGAATGCCAAGAGTGTGCAAAGCTGTCATCAAGGCAAAGGGTGGCTATTTGAAGAATCTCAAATATATAAAATATATTTTAACACTTATTTTGGTTACTACATCATTCCATAGGTGTTATTTCATAGTTTTGATGTCTTCACTATTATTCTACAATGTAGAAAATAGTAAAAATAAAGAAAAACCCTTGAATGAGTAGGTGTTCTAAAACCTTTGACCGGTAGTGTATATCCATTCATAACCCTTATATATCCATTCATAACCCTTATATATCCATTCATAACCCTTATATATCCATTCATAACCCTTATCTAAGGTCTTTATGTATATTGGTGATGATAAATGAAACAAAGTTTGTTTTTATTTCAGGTTCCATGTTGATTTTCTAAAAGAGGAGGATGAGGAGGAGGATGAAGAGGTTGTGTTCCACCTCAACCCTCGTTTCTATGAACACCAGGTTGTCCGTAACTCCCACCTGGATGGTGGTTGGGGTCCAGAGGAGAGGGATGGAGGCTTTCCATTCGTTCAAGGACGACGTTTTGAGGTACAGTGTTGAGCAGGGTTGGGGTTCCCTGGTGTTTTGAGGTACAGTATTGAGCAGGGTTGGGGTCCCCTGGTGTTTTGAGGTACAGTATTGAGCATGGTTGGGGTCCCCTGGTGTTTTGAGGTACAGTGTTGAGCAGGGTTGGGGTCCCCTGGTGTTTTTAGGTACAGTATTGAGCAGGGTTGGGGTCCCCTGGTGTTTTGAGGTACAGTATTGAGCAGGGTTGGGGTCCCCTGGTGTTTTTAGGTACAGTATTGAGCAGGGTTGGGGTCCCCTGGTATTGTGTAATATGTGGGTAGAGAATATCAGAACTAATGAAAAGAAATAGAGATATTACTTATAAAAATGATGTACTGTGACCTCAACTATAGATAATCAATTACCGGTACTGTAAATTATATTAATGACAATCTGTATTACCTTTTTCAGACAAAGATCAGTAACTATTAAAGATTGCACCTTTTTAAGCTCTTTATTATTATTTTTTTTAACACTATTTAGTTGCTGAGTTGTTGTTCTGACTGTCCCCCTGCAGCTGAAGATCCTAGTGGAAGAGGACTCATTTAAAGTAGCTGTGGATGGGAACCATTGTCTGGAGTATGAGCACAGAGCCGGAGGGTTCGAGGACGTCACCCTGCTACGTGTGGTGGGGGATGTCACTCTCTACAGCGTGGCCCCTAGCATGATCTAACACTCGAGAGAGAGAGAGAGAGATACCACGGTTTGAGAGTCCCAAATGGCACCCTATTCCCTATGTAGTGCACTACTTTTAGACCAGAGCCCATAAAGCACCCTATTCCCTATGTGGGCCCTGGTCAATAGTAGTGCACTACATAGGGAATAGGGTGCCATGTAGGACGTGGTACAGTTCACTTCACCTGACTGACACTGGCTAATGATCTGGATTGGGGGGGAGTGCAGCTCATATACCTCTTTCCACACTATCGTGCTGACCCAAACCAAACTGTGCTATCTCGGATAGTTACTTTTCACATTGTCCTTTTCAGCGTGGTTCCAGCAACTATGGTGGATGGGTAACCAGGCCAGCTCAGTACAGCTTGGTTTGGCTCGGTTTAGCTCAGTAGTATGAAAAGCACTACACAGCATGTCCTATAGGCTAATAGGTAAATAGGTTGTCTTTTATTTTTCATAAACGGATCTAATTCTGGGCACAGTCAAATGACTGTGTCACGTGTCGTGGTGATAATCTATACAAATGAGGGCAAGGAACTAGGCCACGTAACAGTATCAGAGATGGAAATATTTGCTTTTTAACTGCAGTTCTAGGGAAAGTAACCATATTTATTCTGCACGAAATGTCTAGGGCAAAGAGGGCGTGTCCTTAGCATTTCACAATGCTGTCATGATGGCAGCAAAGTAGGCTGCATTTTGTTTGTATGTCTGTTTACTGTCTATAATTACAGATGAGCCTTTCAGCGTTACGATGCATGTTGTGTGTAACCAGTGGACTGAACAGCCGTGTGGCTTTTTGCTTTGAACCACTTTATTTTATTGCAAGGCTGAATGGACTTAGACTAGAATACAGAGGGATTGAAGAGGGCCTCTGTGTACTGTAGGCTGGCCTAGTGTTCATTTAGCTAGATCTTGCTCATATGTCATAACAAATGTGTTTGACATTTTTCAGTATTAATCCTCCAGGTCTCGCTGACTCCAAGGTTCATATGTTATTAAGAAGTCAAAATCTACAGCAAAAAAATGAAATGTAACTAGTAGCTAAATCAATGTATAACTTTGTAGATGTTACCAAAGACTTAAGGATTATTTTCAAATGGAAATTTTTTGTCAATAAAGAATAAAGAGAGCGGATACATTTTATGACTGGTTATCTGTAGCTCAGCTGGTAGAGCACGGCGCTTGTAACGCCAAGGTAGTGGGTTCGATCCCCGGGACCACCCCATACACAAAAAAATAAATAAATGTATGCACGCATGACTGTAAGTCGCTTTGGATAAAAGCGTCTGCTAAATGGCATATTATTATTAATTATTATTATTATCAATGGTTTGTTCTACGGCAGTGGTTCTCAGCAGTCACACATTGCTCTGCCCAAAGTACCTGCTCATGTGCAACTGCCTGATTGGCTGTAAGGTGAAGTTGCCCCTGCCTAGACGCTGATCCTGGGTCCGTTTGCATTTTGACCCACTGATGGATTAGGGGGGCGGGGAAGCTGATCCTGGATTAGGGGGGCGGGGAAGCTGATCCTGGATTAGGGGGGTGTGGAAGTCTGATCCTGGATTAGGGGGGCGGGGAAGCTGATCCTGGATTAGGGGGGCGGGGAAGCTGATCCTGGATTAGGGGGGCGGGGAAGCTGATCCTGGATTAGGGGGGCGGGGAAGCTGATCCTGGATTAGGGGGGCGGGGAAGCTGATCCTGGATTAGGGGGGCGGGGAAGCTGATCCTGGATTAGGGGGGGGCGGGGAAGCTGATCCTGGATTAGGGGGGAGGGGAGCTGATCCTGGATTAGGGGGGCGGGGAAGCTGATTCCGGGATTAGGGGGCGGGGAAGCTGATCCTGGATTAGGGGGGAGGGGAAGCTGATCCTGGATAGGGGGGCGGGGAAGCTGATCCTGGATTAGGGGGGCGGGGGAAGCTGATCCTGGATTGGAGGGGGGCTGGGGAGCTGATCCTGGATTAGGGGGGCGGGGAAGCTGATCCTGGATTAGGGGGGGAGGGGAAGCTGATCCTGGATTAGGGGGGGTGGGGAAGCTGATCCTGGATTAGGGGGGCGGGGAAGCGGATTCTGGATTAGGGGGGAGGGCTGATCCTGAATTAGGGGGGGTGGGGAAGCGGATCCTGGATTTAGGGGGGGCGGGAAGCTGATCCTGGAGGTTAGGGGGGCGGGAGGAGGGGGGAAGAGCTGATCCTGGATTAGGGGTGGCGGGGAAGCTGATCCTGGATTAGGGGGGCGGGGAAGATGATCCTGGATTAGGGGGGGTGTGGAAGCTGATCCTGGATTAGGGGGGCGGGGAAGCTGATCCTGGATTAGGGGGCGGGGAAAGCTGATTCCTGGATTAGGGGGGCGGGGAAGCTGATCCTGGATTAGGGGGGTGGGGAAGCTTGATCCTGGATTAGGGGGGTGGGGAAGGAAGCTGATCCTGGATTGGGGGGAAGGGGAAGCTGATCCTGGATTAGGGGGGCGGGGAAGCTGATCCTGGATTAGGGGGGCGGGGAAGCTGATCCTGGATTAGGGGGGCGGGGGAAGCTTATCCTGATAGGGGGGGCGGGAAGCTGATCCTGGGATTAGGGGGGCGGGGAAGCTGATCCTGTTGATCTGTACAGAGGGGAAACTTCACCCCCAGAGCGCTGATCATTATGTCTGCCGATTATGTTCTTATGAGCATTTATTAATAAGCAATACCCCCCTGTGGATAGGCCATGGGTGTAGTCATTAGTCCAAGACGTTTTGCAATGGAAATCGTTAAACTCCAAATGGAAAACGTTTTGCAATGAAAACGAGAGTTTCTATTGAACAAATTCAGGTAGGTCCCTCCCCGTTTTGTCCATTTTTGGTTCTGCTTGGTTCCTAGTGAATACACCCGCGGGGGGGGGGGGTAGGGGGTACTAAGTACCCCAGGTTGAGAACCACTGGTTTGCAGAAGCTGTTTTTCATTTTCTTAGGAGTGGTGGCTACATAACTCACTTGTAAGCTTCACTCGCATTGCACTTTTGGAAACCTCTTGTTGCTTATTTGCAGTTGAACGATATAAACATTTCTGGGTGGTTCAGTCGAAGGTCATGATGAGTAGAGCAGTAGATTGAGGAACATTCTGGGAAGTGGAGTTGTAGTCCATCAGAGGGCAGCAAACGGCAGGAGGAGGCAGGCAGCAGAGACAGAACTCCTGCATGAGTTCACCTTCACATTTATACACTACCCCCAAAAACAACTATTTAGCTTGTCCTCCGGATTACTTACACCATGAACGGGTCAGCAAAGTATACTGCGCCTACCGTGCTGGATATACAGTTGAAAAGAGGACCACAAGGTAAGAAAATAGCTTTCAGTCCAACTCCCGAAAGCTAGCTAGCTTGCAAACTAATGGCCTGGCTAGCAAGATGGCTAGTTAGCTAACTGTTGCCGATAAGCTGTTGCTAGCTAGCTCCGCTGGCTGTCTTTATTCAACTATTGCCAACTTGGTAGCTAATCTGGTTATTGCAAATAGGCTCCAACTTGAACGCCACCGATATTGAATTTTCCACCTCTAGTTACTGAGCCAAATGAGAATCGAGCTAGCAACTAGCTAGCTAACTGATAGCCACTACTCATTCATTTTGTCGCAATAGCATTTCTCAGCTAATCAGAAGTGACAATCAAATCAGATCCCTGTAAAATAGTGTTAGCTACTACTCCTACCAACAATATTTTAGTCAGATTTTAGTTGTCAAATCTGAAATGTGTGTGCTTGAAACTGCAAGTCTTTGTCTCAGAACCATTTGTTCTCTCAAGTTCTAGCTAGTCACTTCCAGTGAATACCCTTATGGTGATGTTGCCTCCATATCTCCCAAGAGTTGAGTTAAATTAGTTATTATGCAATGTTATTTTATGACATGACAAGAAGGCTGACTGCATGGAAGGGCATTATATTATATTATTGTACCTTGTCCCACATAGATAACAACATTTCTAATCAGCAGACTTCTCCTTCAGTCCACCTGTCTCCAACATATAATACTTGGCTGCACTACCATAGTTACATAGCCTTCCCCATAGAATTAGAACACTTTATATTTCTCTATGGCCTTTCCCTCTTTGAGAATCCAGACAGTAAATCCGTAGGTTGTTTCACTTTCACTTGCTGTACCTTCTCTCTGCCTCTCTCTTTACTCTCTCTTTCTCCCCCTACCCTCTCTCGCTCACTGCCCCTCTCTCCCCCCCCTCCCCCTCCCCTCTCTCTCTATCTCACACTGCCCCCCTCCCCCTCCGTACTACTATGGCTGACCCTGTAAAACAACACATTTCACTGCACCTATCCGGTGTACGTGACAATAAAACCTCTCTCCCCCTCCCTCCCTCCCTTCCAGGTCTGGGGTTTAACATAGTAGGAGGTCTGGATCAGCAGTATGTGCTGAATGACAGTGGGATCTACGTGGCTAAAATCAAAGAGAATGGAGCGGCAGCGCTGGATGGAAGATTACAAGAGGGAGACAAGATATTGACGGTAAAGATAAAGATGGACTTTCCAATTTTTTTGAGTTTGGGAAGCAGGTAACCTCGTCCCCACTAGCTCAATTGCTAGAGAACCGACAGGTGGACTAGATTGGGGAGCAGAGGGGTAAGAAGGGGGAATGTGATGTTTCAATCGATAAATCAATCAATTAGTCTATCTGGGAAATGTGTGTTATGCTTGAGGTTTTAGCCATCAACTGCAGAAGACTCCAGCCTTCTCTCTGGAAGGGAGATCCTAAATTCACTTCTCATGGTACTGTCCACTTTAGACCTAGTACTTGATCATACGACATTGCTATGTATTAAGCTCTGTTTGTGTTATGTAGATAAATGGCCAAAAGCTGGAGAACCTGTCACACAGTGCTGCAGTGGAGCTCTTCAGATCAGCAGGAGAGGACGTGCAGCTTCGCGTGCAGCAGAGGGTGAGTGGGACGTCCACAGGCTCTTCTCAATCAAACAACATCTTAGGCAGGGTGGCGGTCCGTGTTCATTAGGGAAATTCTTTAAGCAAAGCGTTTTGCAACTGAAAACAAAAAATTAGCATTTTCAGATAGTACCTACCTTCCCGTTTCACATTTCATGCCTATTGTACACGCTCGGATATGTTGTAACATGTTGTTTTGTTGCCACTGATGAAGTGTCTCTCTGTCCCAACAGCCCACCATAGCTATGAATGGTCCCACCAGCTCCGGGCCTGATGGGGACTCTTCTGTCTCCTCCTTGGGAATACTGGTGGCTGTCCTGGGAGCTGCTGCAGCCATTACCTTCCTCTACATGCGCTTCCAGCCACAACTGAGGAGGCACTTTTAAACCTATGTAACTTTCTCCTCAAGGCATTTTTAAGAGCAAAACCTGGGACTGAAAACTTTGCTGAAGGCCAACCTTTTTATTTTATTTTTATTTTTTTGTTGGGGGGGGTCATTATCGTAGTTGCTTAACCCAAATGCTAAACTTTACTTTCTTGCCACAGGGATAACACCAATGAGATGAGATAATGAGCTAACTTTGTAATTGTAAAAAAAAAAAAACATTAAATGAAAGGTGTGCGTATGGCATTCCCACTGCTGGGCTGAGCTGTGCTCCTCAGACAGAAGGACAGAAAGCGTGTTTATCCCAAAGATATCGTTGTCTGTCAGGATAGAGATTTATGTGTAGAGTTTCTAGGCAGAGGTTGGGCCTGACTCACTCAAGGGGCCTGCCTGCTCCCCAGTTTCCTGTTCTCACAGGGTGTTATTGGAAACTGAAAGGCCATGTTGTGTTCAGTCACTCAGAGTAGCCTTTGTAACTGAATGGCTGATCCGTTGTTGGGGGAGGCAGTAGGCTATGAGAACTCACTGGCACACTGTATTTTGATTTGGCTAGTCCGTCTGTACAGATGCATATAAGCTATGTTTTGTTTTCATATTTCTTATGTTTGTTTAGTCCCCCCCCCTGTGGTAAAACCATCTCTATAACTGTACCAGAATCATCCCAGGTACAGTAGCTGTATATATGTGTGAAGGTAACATTTGGTCTCGTGGGGTTAAAGGTTGGGAGGTGGTTCAGACTAGTCACGCTGAGACACATGGTGGACGTTCGATAATAGTTCGATCAGGTGATGATGCGCTGTGAACGCAGTAGCCTGGTTCCAGATCTGTTCGTGCTCTCTCCATCGATGTCCCTGTCAAGAGCAAACCGTTTGGCGTGACAAGGAGTTGCCGTGACGGCACAAACCGACTGGCACCAGACCACTGTAAATCGGGCATCTCTTTAGAATGTGTGGCGATGACGGTTCACTGTCATGTTGTAAAGTACGAGAGATATGTTTATATCTGTATGGAGTATGTCACTAATGTAAATGTTTCCGGGTTCACATTGAGGCTGGGGTTATTGTTAATGTAATGAACATATTATTTTCTGTTAATCTAATCCAGGCGTGTGCATCACTTACATGGCAGTAAGCGAAATGTTTTACGGAAAGGGAAATCTATTGCTTAATCTACTTAGTTTGTTTGCAAAGAAAAACAAAATGATGGGACTTTCAAACAAATGTGACTTCAATCGGACAGCTTGATGCTGTTTAGTGTAAAGCCATGTGGAGCCATTCAGTGTATCCTAATAAAGGCCCGATGCTGCCACCTAGTGAATGTTTAGCATTCCTGCAGCTCATCCAATCACTGTAAAAGAGGGGTGGGACTAAATAGGTGTCAAAGGGGTGCATATAAATCCTTATTTTGCCATAGGGAGCGTCCCAAATGGCACCCTATTCCCTATGTAGTGCACTATTTTTGACCAGAGCCCTATGCAGGGAAACAGGGTGCTACATGGGACTCAGTCGTGGTTGATGTTTAGCATTACATTCCATATTATCTGTCTCTGATTTGACTTTTGTATTATCTGTATATAGGTGTGTGTCGTCACCCTGCCGCTACTTGTATGAAGTAAAACAAGTACATATATTATCCTACGAATGCAAATAAAGAAGAGAGATCGGGACAGTAGCACTTAAAGTAAAGTGTGTTTGATGATGTTCGGGCACCTGTTAAATTCACGTTGAATTTGCGTGCACTAGCATGAATCACTTGTAATGTAAACTTAAAGACTGTTCAAGCGTCACCTTGGACACGAGCCTGGAGTCGGGACACCCAACTGGGTCCTAGCCAGCCGCTGAGTTGGAGCCAATGATATACAGTGAGGGAAAAAAGTATTTGATCCCCTGCTGATTTTGTACGTTTGCCCACTGACAAAGAAATTATCTGTCTATAATTTTTATGGTAGGTTTATTTGAACAGTGAGAGACAGAATAACAACAAACAAATCCAGAAAAACGCATGTCAAAAATGTTATAAATTGATTTGCACTTTAATGAGGGAAATAAGTATTTGACCCCCTCTCAATCAGAAAGATTTCTGGCTCCCAGATGTATTTTATACAGGTAACGAGTTGAGATTATCAGCACACTCTTAAAGGGAGTGCTCCTAATCTCAGTTTGTTACCTGTATAAAAGACACCTGTCCACAGAAACAATCAATCAATCAGATTCCAAACTCTCCACCATGGCCAAGACCAAAGAGCTCTCCAAGGATGTCAAGGACAAGATTGTAGACCTACACAAGGCTGGAATGGGCTACAAGACCATCGCCAAGCAGCTTGGTGAGAAGGTGACAACAGTTGGTGCGATTATTCGCAAATGGAAGAAACACAAAAGAACTGTCAATCTCCCTCGGCCTGGGGCTCCATGCAACATCTCACCTTGTGGAGTTGCAATGATCATGAAAACGGTGAGGAATCAGCCCAGAACTACACGGGAGGATCTTGTCAATGATCTCAAGGCAGCTGGGACCATAGTCACCAAGAAAACAATTGGTAACACACTACGCCGTGAAGGACTGAAATACTGCAGCGCCCGCAAGGTCCCCCTGCTCAAGAAAGCACATATACAGGCCCATCTGAAGTTTGCCAATGAACATCTGAATGATTCAGAGGAGAACTGGGTGAAAGTGTTGTGGTCAGATGAGACCAAAATCGAGGTCTTTGGCATCAACTCAACTCGCCGTGTTTGGAGGAGGAGGAATGCTGCCTATGACCCCAAGAACACCATCCCCACCCTCAAACATGGAGGTGGAAACATTATGCTTTGGGGGTGTTTTTCTGCTAAGGGGACAGGACAACTTCACCGCATCAAAGGGACGATGGACGGGGCCATGTACCGTCAAATCTTGGGTGAGAACCTCCTTCCCTCAGCCAGGGCATTGAAAATGGGTCGTGGATGGGCATTCCAGCATGACAATGACCCAAAACACACGGCCAAGGCAACAAAGGAGTGGCTCAAGAAGAAGCACATTAAGATCCTGGAGTGGCCTAGCCAGTGTCCAGACCTTAATCCCATAGAATATCTGTGGAGGGAGCTGAAGGTTCGAGTTGCCAAACGTCAGCCTCGAAACCTTAATGACTTGGACAAGATCTGCAAAGAGGAGTGGGACAAAATCCCTCCTGAGATGTGTGCAAACCTGGTGGCCAACTACAAGAAACATCTGAACTCTGTGATTGCCAACAAGGGTTTTGCCACCAAGTACTAAGTCATGTTTTGGAGAGGGGTCAAATACTTATTTCCCTCATTAAAATGCAAATCAATTTATAACATTTTTGACATGTGTTTTTCTGGATTTTTTTGTTGTTATTCTGTCTCTCACTGTTCAAATAAACCTACCATTAAAATTATAGACTGATCATGGCTTTGTCAGTGGGCAAACGTACAAAATTAGCAGGGGATCAAATACTTTTTTCCCTCACTGTATATATATATAGGCTATATAAACATACTGAGTATAGGCCTATGGTTGGAGCGCTGACCCAGGCGATCCCTTCACTTGAGTATATAATATCACCTCACAAAACTGCTTGTCTGTTTCAAATGGCATTGATGATAAATTGCTGTGGAGTTATAGCCTAGCTGGGTTGCCACTTCTCTACACACGAAAATAGATTAAATGTCAACAACAAAAAAAGCTGACCTATTCATGGTCTGGTATGTTTATTCTGTTTCAATATCAATATTTGCAACTTAAAGCCATTTCCACCGCCATTTCTCACATAATTAATTCTACAGACACAAAAAGATCCAACCGTCTGTCGACATTTCCTGTTTTCATAAACCCTGTCGTGACTTTTTTTTTTTAATGCGTCAGGTAATTCATCCACATTAAATGGTTGTATGGAAACCTGGTTACTGTAGAGATTACAGTAATTCGGAGTACAGTCATTCCAACTCAGTCCTGTTTTCAGTGCACTAGTCTGGCTCTGAGTAGGTCAACAGTATCTCTTCTGCTCCACAGTAAGTTCACCGATCCAGTTCAATACTGTACAAATTCATTGCAAGGTTTCATTTAATCAAAAGCTGAACTATACTAGACCAAATTGGTGGTGGACACATTGGTCTAGTTTGGTATAGTGTATGTCAAGTTATTATACGTTTGTACCAGATATTTTCAAGACCAGGTTGAATTGGACCAGGCTTAAGGTGAATGCCATCAGGTAGAAGTGAGGCATCAATGCGCTGCTAATGTACAGTTAACTGAATAAATAAAGGAAACGCTTGAGTAAATGAGGGACACAAAGTATATTGAAAGCAGGTGCTTCCACACGTGTGGTTCCTGAGTTAATTAAGCAATTAACATCCCATCGTGCTTAGGGTCATCTATAAAAATGGCTGTTAGATTAATTTGGATTTTAAGAATAATGACTAAAGGATTTCACCCCAAATACAGTATAAATGTTAGAATTATCATGTAGTGTCAACCCACTAACAGAGGGGGTGGTACTAAACATTCAAGGGTGAAGGGGAAGGCGGGAACTGTTTAGAAAAGCCACCTAAAGGTGGGAGGAGTCAAGTTCAGGAGGTATAAAATCGTATGTTTGTGTTTTTGGCGTCAGAGCTCTCCATTAATAAATATACAGATAATACTTGTGGGTTGTGGACCTTGAATCATTGATGATTAAAACCAGAGCCTTACAACCTCTGGTAATGATTCAAGCTTAGGTTGAATTAGAGATAGAAATTCACATGACAGATTGGTCCTTCGAGCCGGATCTTAAATACGTCTTTATCGTTCTAAGGACACCGAATCCGTGCACGGCCGGGTGATTGCATCCGTGGAGAATAGTCCTGGCCTTCGACGTTAAGGTTATAAACAGGCCGGTGATTACTCTTATGAACGATAAAGACGTTAACGAGTTTGAAAAAGCATTTAAATCCAAACTGCAAGGAAAAGGTCAGTAATTTTTATTCATGGATTTTGGTGAAATGATTTGAACTTGTATAAGAATAGGAATTCTTGTAAAGGGCAGACAATAGTTACCAAAATCTCAAAGGAGGTAATAATTATTACGACTGGGGAGGGTCCG